CACCGCCAAATTTAAAGACAACATTCACTAGTCTTAAAACCAAACCAGTATTCGACTTATATAAGCTTAATATTTTTAAACATTTTAATTTTGCATTATTAGACGGACAATTTATTAGACTAAGAATATTAATATTAGTACACGGGGCACTTAAAAGCGTTTATTTATTCTATACTTATGTATTTTTATTTTTTGTCATCTTAAATTAATTAAATAGTACCTATGTCAAGAAAATATAAATAATAATTTTAATTTTCAATAAAGTAATAAGCAAACTAGTGTTAATCAACCATTTGTACAAAAATTGTTACAAATATAGAAAATATTATGTACCTTTTATACCTTTTATACCTACCTAGTACAAAAATAAAATAAAATAAATAAGTCGAAACTTTAATAGACAACATAAAATAATGTTCGAGGTCAATGTTCTAGCGTCAACCTAATGGTGGAGACTGGCAGAGCTCATTATTATTTCATAAGGTACATTGTAGAGGTGTAGTATCTGAGAATGTGGCACAACTATATAATATATAACTATAATTTATACAAGTCTATATATCAACTTGTGGCATAAAAATTAAAAGAAAATCATCGTTCACAAAGTAGTAGTACTAACTACAGTAAGCTACCAATCAGTAAAGGTTATAAGATATTTATAAAACATTAATACAATTTTTGAAAAAATATTGTACACCGTTTATAGTTACTCCGAAATATTACATCAAAAATACAAAAATACTTAAAAAAAAACCCAAAATAACGGTGAAATATATATTAACGATGATTATTGTGTCATGGTCCAGTGAAAATGATAGAATAACTAAAAACATTCGTCCTTGTGATAAATAAAAAAGTATTCCATTGTTTCCATATTGACCTGAACACAATTTCTATTAGTGAAACTAACTTCCGACGTGGAAGTAATTTTAAAAACTAATGGACCTATACAAGTATAATAGATAAAAATAAACTAATTTATTATTTTGGATGTGTGGTAATTTATTAATAGTTAACAATAATTATTAATAAATTTAAAATTTATAATAAAAACAAAACAAAAGAAGCCTAGCCAACAATTCTACCATTCGTTTCACTTCATTCGGCTCGGCCTGGTCTAGGGATAATAATGTATTATTATTTTAAACTAGACCGCAACACGTATAGGATTCAAAAAACGATTCTTAGCCGAGTTCGGTCTTTGGTAAACAACAATTTCATAATTTTAGATTTTTCAATGAATATTGTAAAATTATTTTTGTGAATTACAATAATTGTTTGATTAACTATTGGGAATTTTCCACTTTTCCACACCAGATCCTAATGTATATGTCCAAGTCTAATCTATATCCGATCGCCGGATCATCCTATTCGACGTTTGCATCACTTTATCTGCTCCAAAAATGTTTACGCAACGAAAGAAAACCTACAAATTACTAAGACACTATAACTTCCCTTAGAATAGATATTGTTATAATTAATATACCCTTTGATATACAAAATTACCAACACTTAAATTTCAACACTCCACACTTCACTCTCCTTGTCGTAGGATACTGTTGATATTACTATCTATACCACAAATTCAAATTTAATTAAATATATTTCATATGCATTATAAGTAAGTTATTTTAATTTTTGATTGAAGTACAATTTTTTTTCTTAGCATTCAAAACTGTTAATCTAAAAAATCACTGATGTTGAATAATATTTGGTGTACTAACCATAATTTATTTTTTTTACAAAAAGCCTCGATGTGTGTATTTTTGTATAAACGATAAAATAAAGTAGGCAGCAGCATACTAAAAACGGAAACGTTTTTTAATTATTTTTATTATTTATAATATCAATTATAACCCCAGACTTATTATAGACAGAATGTGTAATTATTGCATTATTATTACGTAGGATTAACAATTATATAACTTATTTTTAGATTTTGTTAACAGTATTAATAATAGCATTAAATGTATGATATACCTACAGATAATTATTAATCCTTTAAATAAATAAATTACAAATAATTAAAATATTACGAAAATATTAGCTCTTTAAATGATAATGGCATAATGCTACTGATTACCACAAATAATACAAATAAATATTCAAAAATGTTAACTTCGAAAGATCTTCAAATTTAAACACAAATACTTAACTTTCTTTAAACATTATTTGAAACAATCTATTTTAATGAGGTTCTAATTAAAATCTTTATTATTGGTTATAACTTATAATATTTAATTTCGTCCAAATATTAACTTAAAATAACTGTGTTTATATATTTTTAGATGTTTTGGTTACAGAATGAAATATTTGCGAGGAACCTTGTTTTAAATTTTCAATCATTAGCTATACAAATTGAACATTTTATACATTTTTAAATTTCAATTTGATACATTTTGTCAACATTTGAACTTTAAATGAATATAAAAAAAATCTTACCTACGTATATTTAATATTTTAAAACTGATATTGTAACAATGTTTAAGCAGCCTTGTATGATTTTCAAGACTTTTGACCAAACGAATATTATTTATTGACATTTAAAGAAAAAAAAACAAGTCAAGTATAAATGATAAAATAAACATAAAGTGTACATTTTAAGTACCTATCTACGGTTATTCGAATTACCTACAACAAAATAAGCAAATCTCTCCATGAGAAATCGAGTGAATATCCATGTTGTAAAGATTTGAACTTCCAACGCTTTTAAAAAATTAGATAAATTTACGCTCAAATTTTTTTTTAATTTCCACTAACAACAATTTACGAGGAACCTTGTATTACATTTTCAAGTTTTTCGACAAATATTAATAAACTAATAATAATCGAAAATGTAATATGCGTATAAACAGCACAACAAGAGTCAAAATATTTTGAAAATGCTAGTATAAACATTAAGTGATAATTTTTTTTAGAGTTCCACCAAAAACTCTAATCGATTTTGTAAAAAAAACCATTTTACGTAAAAATTCCCGTTTTTCCTTGATTTTTTTTTACGTTTTTGATAACTACCGGGAATTTTAAATGTTGACCTCCTGAATGCACACACTTAATTCACTTTCTCATCGGAAAAGCTAATGAGGTTTAAAATCGAAGCATTATTTCATCTATTTATCGTGTACATAGATATAAAAAATAAAAAAACCACACATAATTATAAAATCGCTCAGCTCAGATACTAAAATACAAAATATTATGTAACTATTGTCTATTGGTGAATATTAAAAACATGTGTTTGCTTCATGTGAGAAAATTTGTAAAAATAATCGATGACTTTATTTCATACTCGCATTTATAGGTAGGTAGGTAGGTAGTGTATTATATTGGAGAATTATAATAGCTGAAAAACATTTTCTATAATATTATATTATTATGTGGATACTTTGTGTCATTGCTTGTAAAATATGATCAGTGATCAATCATATTATTTATAATAACTTAGTTATATTAATAGTTTGCCAATCACTAATCAATATAATTAGCTCATAATTTTAGTAATGATTATTAATATGAGTAATACAAGTAGGAACCTATTAATTATTATACATTTATACTTATCATTAATCAATCAGTAACCGAAATATTATTTAATATGACTGAAAATGTACACTGTATTGTAAAATAGGTATTCTACACATTTTTTTTTTTTTGCAATTTTTAATTTCTTTGGTCTGAGCTCTGAGCTCCTGACAATTTGATGTGCCTAAGTAAAATTATTATTATAACAGTATATGAACTTAATAGGCGTATTATATACTCAAAGTTTTAGATAAGGAACATACACACTTACTATCGTCAACTTGAACAAAAATCTCACTAACTGCAACAACTGAAATGTAGGGCAGTTAAATTCTTGTAATCAATATTTTTTTTCTTAGTTATTTACATTTTTTCCAAATAGAAAAATTTAAATTTAGTCAATTATGAATTTTTGATCAAATTATAGGTACTAAGGAAGTCTTTGAAAATAGTGGGTAGTTTTTAATTAGTGAGATTTTACTTCAAACTTTTTTTGACAAGAAGTCAACATGTGTAAAAATATGTAAATGGTTAACATTACTCAAAACCAGTGGCATGTAGCATAGCAGTGGCGTAGCCAGGAATTTTTAATGGGGGGGGGGCTAAGTATACAAATACAATGTGTTTTTTATTTACGCTTTTTATTTTTTTATTAATCTTGATAAAATTCTAAGGTCAATACCGTTCAATGGGGGGGGCTATAGCCCCCTTAGCCACCCCCTGGCTACGCCACTGTAGCATAGGGTCCAAATATTGCTTAGGCAACGCCTTCAATATTGGTGGGCAGATGGGTCATCGATATGAGGAACATAGAACATTTTATCGGTACGTACAACAATCTTATGGTAGGTAGGTCAACTAAAATTATTTGGGCAACACCAATTTATGTTTTAGATCATGCCACTGCTCAAAACCATAGAGTGTAAATATATTTACACTCTATGGTTTTGATTGACATTGATTTAAAATAATAATACAAAAATACTACCTACACATATAATCACATATCCTAACAAGATCAAAAATTACATTACACCTGCCTTTATAAGATTAAATACTTGGATTATATCTTATCCTACTTAAAACCATTAACCCTCATTTTAAACAAAAATTAAAATAGATTGAAAATGGTTCATACAAATTCAACGATAATTCAAACCTACTGAAGTATAGGTACCTACCTATGTGATCTAAGTATTTATTTCAACAGTGTTATATAGGTATACCTATCAGATTTGAAAAAATAATATCATTAATGTATAATAACCATTCACTACCCACCTAAGTGTAAGAAAATGTAAGTGCCAACAATTCAATCAATAGTTTTTGTCATCAAATGAATTTATTAAAACTGCATTTTAAATTTATGAATGTAACAATATGTCAGTAAAATTTTAGGCTTTCAAGCTTTGACCAATACAAGTGCTAAATAACTAATCAAATATCTATAGCAATGGTATTAGCAAACTACAAGTTACCTGTTTGGTTTTTGGTAAAGTCTCCATGCCATTAATGATCGGCGCCAAATCCATATCCTTATCCGGATTCAACGAACCGTTTTCGGCTGCCGGCATTTTTCCTTTTTAATATGTTCAAAATGTATCCTTCAGAATCTGTCGAAAAAGTTTCTTAATCGTTTGTCCACAATTAAATCGCCAAGCTGTAGATCCATTTATGGCCGTAAACCGCCAAAAATCCACTCATATTTTACAAACACGCACACCCGCATATATTCACCATAGAATATGTCTCAGAGGAGTTGTTTTCATTTGAGATATCAAATAAAATAACAATAAAACTGCATCACCAAAACAATATTTAAACAGGCGAGGGGAAGAAAATTTCAGTTACTAACGTCGCTACGACACTATATAACGACAGTACGACAGCGACTAGCGACACTGACCGCGGAAATTTTTTTGCCATAAGTGATTATGAAATATTTTAGTAAACAAACGACGACAGTGCCGCCAGCTGTTAGGTTTTTCAGAACGGCCAATTTATTTATTGCAGTTGGTACAGTCGTCATCAGTCGGAAGTACGTAACGATTTTTCAGCCGTCTTTCACGGGTTAACCTGCATCGTGGTCCTAAAACACGACTCTATCAAAGTATTTCTCTTCACGTTCTTTTCATTAGAATTTTGTTTACGTCGGATGCGTTTTATTTTTAATAGGATTACTTACAATAAATTGTTCTGTGCTAAAAATTCACGGTAAAGTATTAAATCTTTTGTTGCATTAATATTTAAGTATTAAATCAAAGTAATATTACTAATATTCAGTTTTCTCCATTTTCGGTGAAAAATTAATGTTGTGTACTTGTGTGTTAAGTTTACCTAACCTCAATAACACGTTTTGATCACCGTCGGGGGATTTCTTAAAAATCTTTTAGTTGATGTCAGACGTTTTAGTTATTTCTCTCTACTGTTGTGTTACAGATCATGTCGTCAATCACGTTGAAGGATGTTGACCAACACAAATTTGTTGCTTCGTTCTCCGCATTCTTAAAAAAGTATATTTTTATTTCTACCTGTCTAGTATTAATCTATTCTCAAACTCTAAAATATCATATTTTTAGGAGTGGCAAGTTGAAGGCCCCAGAATGGGTTGACTTGGTAAAAAATGGTAAATTCAACGAATTGGCACCTTACGATGAGGACTGGTATTACACCAGATGTGCTGCCACGTTGAGACACATTTACTTCAGGTCGCCAGTTGGTGTTGGATCCCTCACCAAAATCTTTGGAGGTAAAGTGGTTATATTTTATTAACTTTACTGTATGTTAAGTTTATAAAAGCAATAAACCCACAACTAGTTTTATAATTTTAAGCGTGTGCGTTTAGTGAAAAGTTAATACTAAGTTTTGGTGCAAGGTTTATTTTTCAAAACTAGAATTCCACAAACAGGTTCTAAATTCCAAAGTAGACAAATCCAAGCAACATACAATTAATAATCTGCCATTATAGATAAATTGTTTTTATTTTCAACCAAATAGAATGGATTTACTAATTTTAAAAAATAGCTAATAACCTTTTTTTGTTTTGTCATTATGCGCCCAATTAATATCATGCTTATAATGAAAACTTAATATGTCAACTCATTTTCCCCACTCTTTATATACCTACTAACTCAGAAATGTCATACCTTTAAAACTATGCCCGAGTGCCAAATTTTGACTTCACTGTCATTTTCAGATTACTTAACCATATAAGTTTCATAAAGAAAAAAGATGCCCCATAAAGTAGAAATATATTGAAAAATTATTTTATAAGAAAATTGGCATGATATCTGGGAAGAATAGGTTACTGGTTTGATATTTAATATTAGTAACTTTTTGAATTCTACTGATAACAGGCTAGAAAGTTTTAATTAAAAATTAAAATCAGTGATACATAACTTTTCAAACCTTTTGGAATTCTTCAAAAACCTATTTACAAAAATAGCCAGCCAAAAAAAATTGAAACACTGAAGATTATAAGTTTTACATGTTTTTGGTGCCATGCACATTTAATCATTTAAAAAGTAGTCGTGTCGATCATTTTTATGAGTGGGACTTTAATCTTCGTTACTATTAATCCCTTAGTTTATAGTCCACGCGCATGCCCATTTTATAACAATTTAGTCAGATGTTTACTATCAGTCTGACCGTGGTTGGGTGCCTGTTTTAATCCCGACTATGGCCGGGTGTATATCCATAGCCATTTAAATTTATATTATTTATTGAAGCTAGTAATTTTGCATTGTGCACATTTATTTAGTGCCTCTAAGAAAACATAAATAAGTGGATTTTTTAAACATGTTTTGTATACAATTTAGAAAATGTTCAAATGATTAGACAGGTTGAAACTTACTAATTCGCTGTGATTCAGCAGGGTTTAAAAGTTTACTATTACTACTTAGTTTTTTATGTTTATACTGTATAGAAGTTTACCAATTTCACCTTTTTAAATAACTATATTAATATTTTTAATTTAAATTTAAGAAAAATTGCCAATTTTATGTGATTTATAAGTTAATACTTATTAAAATTTACAGTATTATCGCTATTGTAATAATTATAAAGTTTAAAGAAAACAATGTACTTCATATTATTATGTCTTATATAGTGTGTTAAGTTTTATATGTGTATATTACCAACCCTGACTCCTGAGCGATTGGTTGTAATATTATTCACATTAATAATTTTTACTGAACAACTAAATTCAAAATTGAACTAACCATCAAATAAATACCAGATAATATACCTATCACATACAATTTATTAAGTGTTTTTTAAAAAACAAATCTTTTACTTTCAAGAAGCCCGTACACAAGAATAAATAATTTAGTTATCTTTATCTTCCTATGATTTATCAATTTCCTTCTCTCTCATAACTGTTTATTTTAGTTGGGTATATTATGTTCTATTATACAACAGAAGTTGTAGGTTTTTGTCATAAATTAAATATTAAAATGTACTATGTATATAATATATAATATGTCTGTTTGTTTCACAGCCCGCAAACGTAATGGAGTGAGACCATCCCATTTTTGTCGCAGTTCTTCTGGTATTGCACGTAAAGTACTACAATCTTTAGAACAAATGAAACTCATTGAGAAGGTTGAAAACAACAATGGCCGTCGATTGACCTCTCAGGGTAGGCGAGATTTAGATCGTATTGCTGCTCAAGTGAAACAAGCAAAGAAGAAGAAGCAAGCACTTTTGGCCGCTGAATCAGCGGGTTTCTCTGTGCTTATTCCAAAAACTGACTAAGAATTGAGTTTACTACTGTATAAGACCGTTACATCCTTGAAAGTAATAAAAATACTTTTTAAAAAAAAATAGATTTTGAAATTCTAATATTTATTTATAATATCCTATATGATTTGATTTATCAACATTATTTCAGCCTGTGGTGGTCTTAAGGTTTCAAAAAATAAAAATCTGCTAACTTGAGTATTAGTATACTTGTGATAAAAAGCCATTTTTGAGACTAATAAATGGGTTTGAATGGCCATGGGCTACTGAACTGTAAAAATAATTAGTAATAATATAATAGTTTCTCAGTCTGGATGATTGATGTTATGAAGAATGTGTTTAAAATAAAACATTAAAATTAACTATAACAGGTGTAAATTTTTATTTTTAAAAAAAAAAACGGATCTTAGTGTGTGACGACTGACGATGAATACTGATGATCAGTTCAACAAACTAATAGTTAGTAGTTTTCTTCAACAATATCGCGAACTTTTTTCTGAAATTTAGGTATCGATAATCGAAATATTCCATATTTAAAATAGCACAGGATAATGGAAAAAATATATCGTTGAAGAAGCCTAATAATTAGTATACATAACATAATATTACCATTCAAAAATTATTCTATACTATACATTAACAACATAATTTAGATATATATGTATATAAATATATTTTTAGGCCTACAGTAACTCAATATTTTATACCTATAGTTGCCCCAAAGGATCTTAAAGTTAAGAACATTACATCTTTCATTATGTTTGCTTTTTTACGATATTTTCATTGCCGTGCAATTTATAAGCATTTTTAAATTGTAACATTTTACACACTCATAACAAAAAAAAAATTAAAATATAAAATAGCCAACATAGCCACACGGTTTAAAGTTTGATAATGGTGAATTTACTACTAAAATTAACAAATTAGGGTTGGTTCTGCGAAACGTAAATATGGTATCTATGTTGAGTTAGGGTGAATTAGAGACTACAAAGAGAAAACCAATAAAAAAAAATGTAATTTCTTAAATGAAAATGATATCTTATATGGGTAAATGGCATATACCTCATGATAAACTCTGATAATGAGTAAATGTCTCAAGTAGACCTCATACTATATAAGAATATTGTTGGAATATTAAATTGCAATTTAGTTATCACTTATAAAGTTATTATGCCTATAGTCTATACTCAATGGTCTGGCGATTGTAATCAATAAGTTATAATATTAAAATAGTATACTGTATTATAGTTATACGTTTATAATGGAAGTACATATCCTGAGATAAAACTTAACAATCTCGAATGTGGGTATTCACAATATACTTATAGCGTAGGTATTATTTGAATATAGCTTTTAGTGTACTCAACATACACGGCCCATATTGTCACTACGTTAGTGCTTTGTATACTAGTATCATAATATTATATATGACCTACTTAAATCCTAAAGGTATTATTTATTATAATTTACGTTATTAAAATGTTTTAATAAATATTTTAACTTAGACGTGTCTGGATTACTTTCATTGAATCTTCCATTCAACAAGTATGTCCTTTTTTGTCTAGAACAGTATTTCTCAATATTTTTAGTACAGCTTCCCAAATTTCCCCCCACCAAACTATCGCAACCCACGTGATTTTACTAGACAAAAAAAAATAAAGTAGGCAATCGCTCTGATCTACAGTAGTCGTTGATAGTAGGCCACTGTATGCGTTATGTGTTAAATCACTAAAAACGATTCTAAGTAGATACCTACTGCAGGTGTATGGCGTGTATCTAGGATTTTTTTAAGGGGCCGGGGTCATCAATAAATATATATAAATTATAATATAGTTAAGATTCATAGGCGTGCCTAAAAGTTATCCACAGATGTGGCTGACAAAAATGTTTTAATCGACCTACCTGTAAGCGTCAACAATTAGATGTCTAGCTCCCTGAAATCTGAATCCAAAAAAATTTACACATCGACTCTATGTGTTAAATATTTTACTATTTTTACTAGAGTACTATTTATTTTATCAACATTATTTCAAAATTCTGCGAAAAACTGTCTTGCAGGTATGGCCATGACCATATTGGCCATATCCGCAAAAAGGCCTATGATATAAAATTATAAAAAAAAAAACAATCGACCAATCAAGAGACATTCATAGGTTAACTATGCATGTACGAAAAAAATAAAATCAATTATTAAACAAGTGCTAAAGGGGTATGTAAATTAACTATTAATGATACAGTAGGTTGAATTAATTTATGCCGAAAATATCGCAATTTATTATATTATTTATTATCTTTTATTATTTTATACCTAATAATTATATCATAAATTATTTGTATTGACTTCGGTTCGCGGTATAATCGGGCAACAGCTAAAAATGAAACTTAATATTTTGAAAATGTCATTGCTTATAAATTATAGTAAAATATAATAATATACGAAAACGTGTCAAGCCCCATGAATATTTTTGAATTACAACAAAATAATTAAAAACGTTATTCTTTATTAAGAATCAAATTTCGTGAAAATTTGAATTTTAAATGTAAATAAATAAAATCGTGCTTATTATACATTATTACGAGTATATTGTAAATTATTATTATTATTGTTATTATCTTTATTTATAATCAAAGTGATACTAAAAAAAAAGACCCACTACTGTTATGTAGCTAGATTGCCTATCTAAAATGCCGAATACGTAATTTTATTACGAAAATCCTAAATTAGAAGGTACCTTATAACCAGGACTCGAGACTTAAAGCTTATTTTTATGGATTGACTTAAAATGTAGCAGAGTGCTATGTAAGTGTATGTCATGCTACAACAAGTTCAATAATGAAATTTGAAAGTTCTATTTTCAGCGATTTTTCAAAAAAATGCCTATTTCCAGTTTTTCTGATAATTTTTGATTTTTTGACCAGTTTTTCTACTTTTTTATGATTTTTTCCTGTAAAGTTGTTTTGATGGAATTAAAATTAAAAATAACTCTTATTATATCTACGTGGTAGCGTAGTCCTTCGTCGTCCGCGGCATCGTTGCAGAGTTAACCAGTTATTACCCGTTGGGGCTCTTGGATAGAGGCTGCAATTTACTATTGCGAACATTTAAGAACACTTTTTCTAGATGAAAACGACGCAGACAGCATTAAAAAAAGCAAAACTGTGCCTGTTAAAATCGGGTTTAGAAGCCGATTTGGCATCTATAAAAACTAATTTCGAAGTTCTTACTAAAGCCATTAAAGAACTGCAAACAAAAAATGTTTCATTGTCTGGTTCACTTGCTGTGGTTGAAAATGTGAAACAGAAATTTTCTTTGTTAAAAGGAAATCGTGGAAAACCAGTTCTAACTAAACTACAAAAATCCATAAAATCCTCAAAGTCACAAAAGTGAAGTTTAATTTTTTTTATAATATAAAGATAAAGATTTATTTTTTATTTTATTTTTTTTTTTTTTGAATAAATATTTTTGCTTAAATTCAAGTTTTTTAAATACTTATTTGAGTACTTTTAATGATGTTTTTAAGCGCTTATTTGAATGATTTTAAGTGATTTTAACTATTTGTTTTCATAATATCGATGACCGTGAGATATCGAAAACATATTTCCAAAGGAATAGTTCAAATATTCTGAAACGAAATAAGGGAAAAGTGTTGATAGCGTGCAGGAACTAGGAAGTATACCTAACTACCTAAGTCTATACATTACGGAATTATTAGTTTTAGTGACGGTTATTGAGTCTGCCAAACTCGAGGAGCAAGCTTCATAACATGATACAACATGTATAGGTTCTTCATAAATTTAATTTCCCATATAAGTACTCATACAATTAGTAATATATATACACTTATTTTACTGTAATAGTTAAACTGTTTAAAAAAAATGTATGATGATATTGATAATTATAGGGCCGGATTTGAATGCAAATGCATTATTTTTTGGGAAGTCCCAGGCACTGATTTTAAACTACAAAACCCGTTTCATACATCAGAAAATTGAAAACTTAAACTTTGTTTTTCCATTTTTATCAGTTTTGGCGTTTTTTTAAGAATTTATTATGATTTGTAGTGAGTATTTATACATTAAATGAGTACATTTTACACATAGTTGGCAGTTCAAAAAATGTTGTTTCGGCCATTTATTATTTTGTTGATTGATGATAGTAGGTACCACGGACTAAGATATACAGGACTGGACACGACAAGGTTGGAGGGTGTGGGGGGGTTGACTACGAAATGTTTTACAACAGGCAGTGTTCGGGGGGATATTTTCCTTTTAGCATTACTAGCGCCGTCCTAGTGGATACTTATGGAACTAGAACACATCATACAAATTTCTAGTTCCATAAGTATCCACTAAGACGGCGCTAGTAATGCTAAAAGGAAAATATCCCCCCGAACTCCGCCTGTTGTAAAACATTTCGTAACCACAATATTCATCTCGTGTCCAGTCCTGTATATCTTAGTCCGTGGTAGGTACTATTTATTATTTTGATAAGTCGATGACGTCATTATTTATCTGCAGTACGATTAACGACTGCTATGTGTCCGGGACCAGTGGACAAGTTGGTGTTACATCGTATAATTCGAGTTTACTTGGTCAAGTTTGTTAATTTTTTTTGCTCAAGAATTCTTAAAACAATTTTTGGTTATTTTGTTAAATACATTGTTTCGGTTAAAATGCATTTTTTGCTATTTGTACAGTATTTTTGGATAGTTTTTAGGAATCCGTCAACTGTACGCTGAAATTTTTTAATATGATTTGAATTCGGTGTGCCAGGCTGACGGGTCTGTTTTTAATCCTTTAAGGCATTTAAATCTGGTCTCTAATTATAACACAATTACTGAATTACAGATTAAAAAGTAATTTGTAAGTACCTTACCTACAGAGTACAGGCTACAACCTACATCCCTACCTTTTTGTTATATGTTACATGTATTCCATTTCGTTTATTTTGAGGTTACAGAATTACTATAGGTACTTCCAAGTCAGAAAATTATAAGATTTCGATTAATTTTCATATTGGTTCAGCGTACACACCCGCCAAATTTTGGACCAGGAGCACTCCTGCATTGTATTCTTGTAACAATAGTCATCCTAAAAAGTATTTTATAATTGAATTTAATTTATAATTTTGAATCACAGTGTACCGTGTACCACTCTTGACTCTATGTCTGTACTGTCAATATTTCTCATGTTTCTCCGTTTCACGTTTGGCGTTTACTGGTTGGTTTACTATATTCTATTATGTTGTCCTACTCATTTTACCATAAGTATTGTTGTGTTTGTTCTACTATTTTTTAGTTGTGTACTTGTGTAATAATATTATAGTAAGTAGTATAACTATATAAGTATATAAACATATTATAGTGTTAGAACTTAGAAATATAAGTAGGTTCGTCTGATTTTAGGTATATGGCTTCATTAGGTGTCTTATTTGCGAGTTTATTGCCCAGTATTTGCCTATTACAGTATAGAACAGTACGCAAATCGATTATATTATGAATATAGCACTAACCGGGGTTAAAGTGGAAAAAAATTCCAGAGGGGACTAATGTCTCCATATAGTTTTAAGCGTTCCGTGTATAATTTTATGTATAATGTCCAATGTATAAAATCCTAATTTGTTAAAAGGGACGCTTTTTAACCACCGTCAGAGGTAGGGGAACCTAATCCTTCTGCGTCCCCCCACTTTAACCTCTGAGCACTAGGTATATAGCTTTGTTTGTTTACGTAATAATTTTTGGATGATTATACATTTATACACAATAATATACATAGGTAATATTTATTATAAGTGTGGTTGTATTTTATGTGATCGTTGATGACATTTTTTTTGCAAACATATCAAATGGGAACTTAGTTAATAATTATTTTTTTTTTTTTAATTGATTAACCCGCAGCAACTTAGGCCATTGGGTGATTTTTCAACTGTGAGGGAGGGTACTGTAGGTTTGTTTGCACAATGATTTATTTAATTTACCTACTTTGTTATAGGTAGTCAAATAACTCATATTTAAATCAGTGACGTAGACAATGGGGGACGTGGGGGTCAGATCCCCCCCATTGGCTTTATATTACCTTAGTAAAAAGTTTTGAGAGGGTGGGGGATTTTCCAATTTTTCCCTCCCATTAGCTATGTCGTTTTTTTTTTGATCCCCCCCTTTCAGAAATCATGTCTACGCCACTGATTTAAATTGTATTTACAATGTTATGTTCATGTATTTTTAACATAATAATATACATATTGTTATTTGTTATTCGTTTCAGTTTATATTCATTTTTATTTATTTATTAAATATAATAATTAACTTTTTTTTTTATTATGGTATCGAGGATTGGAGGAGGAACTATGGTGCCAGTACTTCTCCTCCAGCCCCCAAATATAATAATTAACTAGTTACTAGTCCAATTTAAATGTACATTCACAAAAAATAGAGAGAAAAAAATTAAAATTAATACAGAATGATACAGTGCCATAGTATACCTAGGTAGACCTCTATTTATAATTTACTTATATTAATAACAAAAAGATAACATAACGAAAATACAGTTTAAAATAAAAAAGATGGTTCTGCCAAAAAGATTGGCCAATTTTAACTACGGGAGATGAGACGATACTGCATATAATTGGAGGAACAAAAAGGGATAGAGAAGGGATATACAATATATACTGTATACAGGAGTTAGAAACAGGAACATGAAAATTAACAGTCTGCAGTAAGTCAGGAATACCCAGGGTTCCACTAGTTAGTTAACGTAGTAAAAGCATTTATTAGCCATATATATTATTAGTTATATTTTAACTTTGAACTATCAACTACTTAATAAATAATAATATGTAAATATTTAGCATAATAATTTAAGTACCCATATGTGACACTTACCAAACAAACTAAAGGGGGTGCATAAATTAAAAGTGATTTAAGAGAGGTAGGTAACTGCTCCTCTGATGTACAGTATAGGTGTCGAGTGTAAGTCGTCATTGAGACTAATGGTCACCGTACCTAATAGATGTGTTACATTTAAATTCAATGATAAAACAAATCCAGATTATTTTAAAAAGTACTGAGAAATGTCTACTTTTGACCGACCAATGTATAAACAAATCGAATTGGAAATCTTCTACCAGAAACCTCCCTCAAATTTGATGATCGGAGCATTTTTACTAATAGATAATGTGTCTTCAGACACAAAAATAAAAAACAAATACACACATCAATGTGGGTAAAATAATACGCATTCAAAATGCTCCGCACATAATCTAAAATAGGAATCTAAATTAAAAATCTGTAATTTAAATTTGAATATCGATACAAAACAAAATTGCATTGGATCATCCGAATAAAGTACACCCATGAATCATGAACCATTAATTTTTATTTTGCCATTTCACACCTTGTCTTCTCGAGTTGAGACTTTGGAAGGGGAAAAAATATCGTGTAATGTCGTATATATCCATATTAATTAAAATATTGTTATCTTTGTTGTTGTACCATTATATCCCTCTCTCTCTCTCTTGCTATTCATGGCCCTTGGTTATAAATGGTAATAGTAAAAACAGTTTTTAATCTCACAAAAAACCCAAGGATAAAAAATTAAATACAAATATGAACACATGCAAATTCTGATTGCACCATTGTACTTATACCTGGTTAAAATTTATAGATTTCCCAAAAAAATGTCTAAAAATCGCTTTGTAACTAAACACATAAAATCCCGAACTTCGAAATGTTATAACTTGTAAAAAATTAAAAAAAAAAACCTGCTTAGAATTTGGAATTAGGGTCATCATCATTGGACCCCCCCCCCCCCCCTTCTATCATGCCGTCCCGCCTTGTATACTTGTACCCCCAAATTACTTATTGTATAAATTATTACAGATTGTATATATTCTTGTTTCTAATAAAAAAAAAAAAACTATAACTTTGGAAGTAGCTGAAAACTAAGTCCGACTTAAAAATTCTGATTGCACCACTGTGCATAATTTGTTGAAATGCACCTAAATGTTTTCAAAAAAAATTCTTATAAATCTGCATTTATTTCTATATATAGGTATTTCAATATTTTTGCAATATTGCAATATTTGATATTGTGATTAGTGTTAATTACGAAGTAGGTACTTAATATTTTCTTAGTTACAGCTACCTGCTACAATATAGAGGATTTGGGTTTTATTTGTTGTTTTTATAAAATATACTATGTTAGTAGAAAAGTACCTATAAGTAATATTTATATAATTAAATAAGTACATAAATATGGTTCACCAGTTCAAAAAAAAGTCATGTAGAGGATACGACTCCCAAATCCCCCTAACCCAGGGGCGGATCTGAAGCTTGGTTAAAGGGGGGGCGAATTTTGAATAGGAATATCCATGAGTAATATACAAGTACGATGAGTATGGTCAAACCTGGTGGGTGGAGGGGGTCACCACCCCCAGAAATCCGTATATCAATCCGGATCAAATTGTATAATCCGTATACTATAAAATTATCAGTATACATTTTTTCAACCCCTCCCCCCACCAAGAAAAAGCATTTCCTGCTGTTGCTTTGGCAATGAAGACTTGACTGTAGTTCAAGTAATTTATGGAAAAAGAAGTACAACACTTAAAATTAATTGTAGGTAGGTACCTTTATTTGTTTTAAACAGCTATAACAATATATTGTTCAAAAATAGGTATAATTATAATAATAATTGTACGTTTCTTTTTTTTTTTCATTTGCAAATCTATTAATTACTTCTTCTATGTTTACAATAATATCTTTATGCGTGTGCAATAAAGCCAAGCCAGTCAGCCTATGTTCGCTCATTCGCGATCTCAATCATGTTTTTAATCTACAAATTAAAAACAATAAGAAATAAGCAAACATGCAAAGCATTTCGGAATTTAGATGCAGATATTTTCATCTTAAATTAAAAAGCAAAATTTTATTTTTATCATTAGTTATCTGACCTGCGCAAAGTGGAAAAACTGCGTTCAGCGGAAGCAGTACTAATTGGCAAACTAGCAAGTATAGAAATCAAGGATTTAATTGTTGGGAAGATTATCCTACAACATGCATCCAAAGTATCAAAAACATTTTTTGGTAATATATCACCAATGAAAATTGTAATTCTGAAATAGTCTTCACAATTATTTATGTTATTCGGATTTGATCTATTTTTTTGATGAGCTGACACCCTAGGCATTTTCAAATGAATGTCCAATTCATCCATCAACATTTTGCATTCATTATAAATAAATAATCACACTATCACAGATAATTTCTATGTATAAATCATAGATATATTATATTATTAATAATATAAATCTATGGTATAAATACTATAAATAAATATGTCATTGTCTGATAAAGTTGTTATCATTGTTATCATGAAACATAAAGAGAAAAAAAAAATAATAATTAATAATTATTAATTTATAAAAATGTATTGTGTAATGTGTAAATCTATAAATCGAAAATATTAAATAAATCTGTAATAAAAAAAAAAGCCCAAGGGGGGGGTGATCGCCACGTCGCCCCCCCCATAGATCCGCCACTGCCCTAACCACTAATTACGCCACTGGCACTGTAGGTACTATATATTATCAATTATCATTAACCACCTAATGACTCAATTAAATAAAACAATTTATAACACAGTATATTATGTATACATGTATATGTATTCATATTTGTATTTAAATTTTTTTCTGGGATTTTTTCTACCTATCTTAAATTTTATACTATCTTTTTCTAACACTGTTTGCCTCTGGGCCACTGTCTCTCTCTGTCATCAGTCCATTTCTTTATGTATATATATATATATATGCATATTGTATAATAAACACCTAGAATAATACCCGGGGGGAAATTATTTAACTCCATGACGTACAAATGCCACTTATGTAAGTAGGTACGAGCATTAGCTCAACTAGGGTGGTGAGGGGGCTAAAGGGAGGTTTATCCCCCTCTCCTCAAAAATATTCCTTATTGATATAGATATAAGACTTCTGTAGGTTATTTTAAATTGATAGTTTTGTTTGGTGGATTGTAAAGCCCCCCAGAATTGTTGTCCTATTTGCACCTATATGTGGTACGAGGTGCATATAGGAGTTAGGTATATAATATTTTCATTCGTCATAAATTTAAGAACTAAATATCGCCAACACACGCAATAGATACCTATAGCTTAAAGTTTAAACTATTTAAGGAAACGTGTAAAGAAATTGAATTAATATAATTCCTGTTGAGTTTTATTGTGTACATTTCTAATATTTTGTTAAATACTCGCATCTATATTCTATACAATATATGTATATCTTTATGTATAAAAATGAATGTATGTGTGTGTCCATATTACGTACCATGGCAACCATATCTGTATATATAAAACAGTAAGCTGATTGACTGCTATCAACGCACATTGGACTCAAACCATTGGACGGATCTGGCTGAAATTTGGCATATAGATAGCTATTATGATGTAGACGTGCGCTAAGAAAGGATTTGCCAAAATTCGCATTTTAAATAGGTGCTGAAACAGGGACATTGAGATTAATGAGATTCACGATAGAAATTGGAAATTTTATTTTTATTTATTTATAGTTGCCATTGGTTACAGTCTACATTAGAAATTAGCATTTATTTATTGGTTGCCATTGGTTATTCGGGCAGATCAGGTACAAGCTTGCATCAAATCGAATTATTGAACATTGCCTACCAGGGTGGCTGAGTTGCACTTACCGCAGCAAGTTACACCCAAAAGGAGTTCAACAATCATAATTTTTTTAAGAGTTGCGATTTTTTACGAGCAACCAAATTTGTTATATTAATCCACAGTATTATATCAAAATAAACTTGGTATAACTTTGATACTTTAGAGTTAAATCATACACTTCCGTACAAAAAGCACGGGGTCCGCGATTTACCGCAGGTAGATTGCCTACCTGATAATGTACTGCTGCGATTCAGAATTTTTATGCCGGGCAACGGAAAAGATAAGATAAATTTTGAACACCATACACCGAATATTGAATAATGTATTGAACAAAGTTTGAGTCATATTGAGTTGATACATTTAACGGGCGACGAAGTGCTAGTTAGGTAATAAAAAAAATAAATAGCAATTATTGATATGATAATGGTATACTCGTCGGACTCGTTAGTAATTTTTGAAACAAATAACTTATAGGTACCTAGCCATATATTTTATTATTTAGATATTTCAATAAGAAAAAAAGGTCAAATGGATATTAATAGATGTAACAAATTTTAACGTTGCTAGGCAACGGTTGTGGTACCTACTCATATTAGTCATATTATACTATTATAGTTTAATAAAAGTAAATCTGAACAATAATTTTATGGGCGTATTTTCATATGTGCACAGTTTATAATATATATTGTTTAATGTTTTGTCAGTGGTTGTTAAATGTATAACTACATGGATACATGAATAAATGTTACCATTAATGAAACGTATAATTTTATTTGAACAATGTAATGGTTATGAACTTATGAATTATGTAGGATATATGGTTAAAATAGGCTATAGCTTAAGTTAAGCCTATAAATATTAGTTATATATCCTATATTATAATATACACCCTATCTGGGAATATGTTTTATACATTTTATTATGATATATATAATTTATATATATTATTTTTAATTTAAAACATCTTAATTTTATTTTCAGCGTTCAATATCGAAAATTATTGTCATACATAAAATATACCTATAGGTAAGTATATATTATAGAGTTAATATTTCTATAATACCTAAACTAAATATATTTTTATAAGTAGATATGGATAGCCGTATCCCGTATATTATACAGTGTATATGTACCTATATTGTTAATAAGATGTAATATGCGAGTGGTATATTGACATATTGTATATATTATACTTTTATGGATATTCTATAATATACTATATACTAATACTATATTTATACAGCCATTATAATATATAGATAGGTACCTTGTGACTTGTGTTAGGGATGTAGCCGTGAAAGCGGTTTTCCACTTTTCACCATTCTATACGGTACGTGGAATTATCATTCATTGCAATAATTTATAGCTTGAAGTTCAATCATAAAATGTTGACGTAAATTATGGAACACCTCAGTAACTGTACCTAATTAATATTATGTAAAATAATGATTGGGCATTTCAAATACCTAGGTATATCAAAATCTGTGGATCTGAATTGGTTCCAGAACGTCCGAATTACGAAGGGTTATATCCTAATTGGTTCTTAAATTATATTAAAAGCATTTTCCTTCCAATTTCATACAGACTATTAAGTATTAGGACTGTCATATACTCATGTGTCCATACATATACGTATTAAGCAAGTATGGTTAAACATTTTGTTTTTGTTTCAAAAATCCCATTTTGTACCTATTTTATTTTTTTATTATATAGGTACATAGGAAAGTATTTCATTTATTTTATATTTTTTTTCTCATATATTTATTTAACGTTTTTTATATACTGCACCCTTACATACTATTTAATGATGAGAAAAATGTTACATTAATATTAAATTATATTAGATTGCATTTGGCATTTTTCAAATTTTTATCGTAATCCAATTCGGTTGCATCCATCAAAACAAATAGTGAATTATTTCAAATTTAGCCTGTACCTACCTAGGTAGTAGGTACCACCAGGGTCTTATACAAGGGGGGACGATAGGGTCAGATCCCCCATTGGCTTTTTATTACCTTAATAAAAAGTTTTTAGAGGGTGGTTGATTTTCTAATTTTCCCCTCCCATTTAGACATGTCGTTTTTTTTTTTTGATCCCCCCCTTTCAGAAATCATGTCTACGGCATTGAGTACCACTCGTCTTTTAGATGCTCATAGATAATATTATAATAGCCAATAGGTACATTCTATATGTATAGTGTATACCACCTATAGCATCAGTGGTGTATAATTGGACGTGTTTGATCAGTTTATACTGATTTAGCGTATACCCTGTACAATTACTAGAGATCCGCAAGTATTATCCAAGTATAACTTCAAAATTAATCAAAAACTTAAGTAAAATAAAATATTAATTACTTTCAAAAAAATATTTTTATCTTTATTTTCAACGATGGAAAATTATCAATTTTTTTTTTAATGAATATCAACTAAAAAGCATTATATTAATATCAAACAATAATTATTCATATATTTACAATAATAAACACGGCTATGGATACAACCACGGGTCGCTCACGAATTGCCTCCCATCTGACCCTCGAATTGCCTCCCTTGAATTTTTTTTTTTAAAAGGTTACCCGATTTGCCTACCAATTTAAAAAATACTATTCCCTTGAATTGCCTCCTAAGAGGGTCACTATTATACCACTTACCTACTCTTGTACTGGAATCAAATCGACAAATCGACTAATCCATAGACATTCCCTCAAAAATATTATTCTCCATCTTTTTTTTAATGGGTGAATTTACTCTAAGATTACTTAAAAATATAGGAAAAATGATTCTGCGTAAATACGTTTTGTCTATGTTGCGCGTGGGCCAGAGAAAGAAAACAAATAGTGGGCTGACATATCCTCTTAATAAAAACGATTTTTAGTAAATTACCAATTGTCTTATAATAATAATCGTTAGAAAAATGTATTAGATAATTATGTTTAAAAACCTTTTTCTGGGGGGCGGGATAGATAAATCAATCGACATATAAAGGCACGATGGTATACCCCATGACCTGCTATAAGTTAATTTTAGGTTTGTTGGAAATTTTTTTTTTGAGAATAAGGATTTATATCCCCCTCCCCCCACAAATATGTGCTTAGCGTATACCCTAGAAAAAAATTACCAATAAACCACTGCCTAGCACAGATAGTAGTTAGCCAACTAGATTATTAAAAACATTTTAAATTGTTACATTTTGTTTATGGGAATTTTGTCTGAGAATTATTCTGAGAAACACTTGGGAGTTGGGAGTCACTTGGCACCCTATGCTGTAGCTTCTGCGTGATGGGTGTATATAATATTATTTCGGTGATCATATTCATTCATATAGTGGCATATTTACGGGGGGTTCCAGGGGTCCTGTACCACCCCACCCCCCACCCAGAGCAAAAAAAAATCAAAATATTATTAATTATTTATTAGTTATTACTATTTTTAATTTTAATTTTTTTTTTTTATTAAAATCGGTGGGTTATACCCGCCGTTGAGCTATCAGCGTTGCACGACTATAATTTTTTTTATCTACAACTAAAACGGCGCGTCGGCCGCGGCGCATGCGCGTCATAGATTACGGTTCCCTCCTCCCCACACACACAATAACCGGGAATTGCTACACGCAGTACACATACCTAGTGCTCGGAGCATTCCATTTTGTTTACATTCCATTCCATCGCAGTGGCCGCACTATACGTACGTACAGCCAGGGTATTATCTTCAATTCTGTGTACGTGATCGCTTTTTACCGTTTTCGATTCCGTCCGTTCGATTTCAATCGCCGTTATTTGTTATTCGTTTTCTGTTTTTTTTTTTTTGTCGTCGATCAACGCTTAAACACACACACACATAACTAACCCGAGTACACGGCCGAATCGAAATCGCGTCTGCATGTTTTATTTAACGGCAAACACCATAGTGGTCGTCGCAGCATCCAGCCAGCCAGCCGTCCGTGTGAGGTGAGCGATAAATAATGATAATTTTACATTAATAATAATAATAATTAATAGTGACGGTACTTGTTGTATCGCGTCGTGCCAGCAGTGTTCGCGGACCTGGTCTGGTCGCTAGTGCTTCCGACCCGTTCCGCGTACCACTCGACTGCCCTCAAAACAGGGAGGCGTGTGTCAATCTTCCTTGTCGTCACCCAACCCTTTCTGATCCTAGCATGATTTCTTTTCTCTGTTTCTCTTTCCTGTCTCTAGATCTTAGATGGTCCCGTTTGTTGTCCTGTTGCCAAAACTACTCTTCAAATGTCTCTGAGATCCATTCAGAAAAAAATACAGTCGTATGGCAACATCAATAAAATCACCTCGTCCCTGAAACTCGTGTCTGCTGCAAAAATGGCAAAGACAGAGCGCCTGCTGAAGGACGTAAGACCGTTTGGATATGGCACGTTATCATTTTACAAACGTTACACACACATCAACATGCTCGACCACATTGAAAACCATCTGATATTTGCCATTACGTCTGACCGAGGTCTGTGTGGCGGCATACATACGGCTGTTGTGAAAAAAGTTAAACAAGAACTGGACAGGTCTGATCAACAACTTGCCAAAGTCGTGTGTGTTGGCCAAAAATCAGAGGAAATGTTAGCCAAATCGTATAAATCCCACATTTTATTCACAGTCTTCAAAATTGGTAAAGACAATGCCACATTTCTAGAGGCTTCAAAAATATTCAATGAATGTAATTATGCAGAATTTATTGCTTGTCAGATATTTTACAACCGTATTGTTACTAAGGGGACGTCAAAAGTTGACTGGATCTCCATTTATAACACAGACTTCCTTCTCACAGTAGCTCATATTGCAAGTTTAGAAGAAGTAGAAGAAGAAACTATGAAAAGTTATATTGAATTTTCTACTGTTTCACTTTTATTTTTTGCCATGGTAGAAAATACCTTGTGTGAACATTCTGCTCGTATGGTAGCTATGGATGCTGCTTCTAAAAATGTTAAGACGTTAAATGAAAAATTATCCTTGGACTATAATAGAAAAAGACAGTTTCAAATCACTTCCGATCTTATTGATATTGTTTCTGGAAGTCAAGTTATCACTGAAAAATAATCAGTTTTTTATCAAAAACTATCTACCTACCTGCATATTTATTAAGTTTTAATTTTTAAAAACAGTCTATTATAACTTTTATTTTTTAATTTAACCTAAATGTTAATTGAATGCATTTTAGTTGAACTATGTATATAATGTTAAGTATTTTTTTTATTATAATATATACTTGCATAATGTAAAAAAAAAATTAAAAAGTATACATTTGTTGTAGGTTCAATATATCTTACAGTGTTTACTACTATAAAAGTATTTCTAAATAATATAATTAAAGTCATATTGAATAAATCTACACAGCTACTTATAGAATATATTTATTTACCACCTATAGTACTTATTACCTGAAAATTGTATACCATAATTTTTAATTACTAAATATTATATCTATATTTATGTCTTAAGAATACACTAATCAGTATTCACTATTCAGTACATATACTAATTTACATAGATACTATATAGGTAGTCTAGTATTAACCTATTTAGTATTTATAATAAGTTAGTTTATTAATTGAAACCTCAATAAACATACTTAATATAATTTGTAGCCACTATGTACCAGGTACCTACCTATATATTATGTATGTTTCATAACTGTAAAATATGTAGTATGATAAATAATTATTTTATAGTGTCCTTAAGTAAAGATAACTTCTTAATCACTTATTATCTCCAAAACATCCAATTGAACTAAAAAGCTTTCAGGAATTCCAGTTACATCATTATATTAATATAAGTAAAGATTCTCATTATAATATTGAGTGTTCCACTTGACGTTGACACTTATTATTTTAGAAAACGTTTAGAGGGTGTCACACCCGCATGTGTTGTCTCCGTCTTACAAATGTACAACATAGAAAAAACTGTTTTGCTCTGGACAACTTTTCTCTCACCATATTTGTTGTAGAAGTACCATATTTTGACAACACGTAAAGAAGAACTTTATCTGTGCAACAGCTTGCTTTTTTTTTAATAGCACTATCCAAACACTTTTCATGAGCAAATGAAAAAAAACCAAATGTTTAGAAGCAAATAACTTTTATTGTATTTATGTTGTCTAAAATATAGGCACGCTGTTGAATGGATAATTTTCTACCCTATATGTTCAAAGATTTTTTTACTACAGTCTACAAACACAGAAAGATAAAAGTTGCCCAGCGCAAAACAGTTTTTGCTATGTTGTACATTTGTAAGACGGAGACAACACATGCGGTTGTGACATAATCTTAATATTTTTTTTACATAATTTTAAATCAAAATAAAATTTATATTTTTAACATTTTTTATAATGGCAACATTAGTACATTTTTAATTTCATATTTTGAAGCAGAATATTATTTGGGGTATTTCTATAAGAATCGAAGTCCTCCACAAATATTCTGCTTTGGAATAAAACTAAAATTGCATGTTATCGTTAAAAAAATGTTCAACAAAAATTACTATAGAAAATAATTTGTTTTATAATAACTTAAAACTATGTAAAAAATGTTGATAGTTTTAGAAATATTGAGTGTTTAACCTTAAATGTATCACATGGTGTATTTTAATTTTTAAATTTTAATAAAAAATGTCTTGTAATGTTAATTTAATCAAAATATATTATAATGTTTAGTAATGTTCTCAAAGAAAAAGAAAAAACCTCAAATATCTTCACCTACAAATTTTGAACACAGAGTGCATACTGGCTTCGATAAACGTGAAGGTAAATTTATAGGTTTGCCTCTACAATGGGCAAGCATAGTTGGTAACAATCAAATACTGAAGAGCACCAATAGACCATTACCTCTGGTGGATCCATCAGAAATCACTCCTACAGAAATATTGGATTTAAAAGTAAATATATTACATTTATACATTTATCGCTTACCTATTGATTTATCACTGATGTATTTATTTTTTTGTGTGTGCACGAAGAAAATTACACCAATCTTTAATATTAAGAGTTGTGTATGGTAGCAAGTTGAAGCTAGTTTGGGATTCGTTAAGGGGGGTCAAAAGTAAAAAGTCATATTGTCTCAGTACCTTTAAAACTAATTAAGAATAACTAAAAAAAATGTATATATATTTATACAACACCAGATCATTTTTGATATTTTATTGTAATTCAAAATATCGATGGCGTAGCGCACAAGTGTGATAAGTGACATTTTCGTAATTGTTCAGGAGAGCGATTTTTAAGTTTGAGATGTCATAACAAATTCAAAAATGTAACGAACTGTACGACATCTATCGGAGTAAATAATGAACTATTCACTTACAACGTTTGGGCATAATGTGCAGAATTGTATGATTAAATTGATTATGCACTTAACTCATTTTTCAAAAAAATGTCACTTATCACACTTGTGCGCTACGCCATCGATATATTAATCTTAGGGATTTGAAACTTTTCTCATTACATGATCACATTTTCAAAATATTCATACCATTCTAAGATACGTTTGATATTGACTTCTAAGTTAATAACAGGTATATATTATATAGGTAATATTGTGAGATTTTTGGATAAATTTAGTTCAAGCTCTACCATATTTCTAATACTAAACATAAATTAATTTAGAAATAACATCTATATCTAACTAAAAATTGGAACAGTGTCTGAAAAACACCTTCTTTGCTTATAAACTTATTTGTATTCAACATATATATTATAGTAACGTAGTCAATGCCTAGGGGTTCTTGAAACCTACTATATATCAAAGTTATGTTTTACTTTAATTATCTAAGTAATATATTAGTAAAGTAAATAACAAGTACAAAAATATTTTTACAATAACTTTTCGCTAAAAATGCTAAGCTTTGTATTTTTTGTATTGTGTTCTAAAAGAAATATTAGATAAAATATTATATTGTATTTCTTTTAGACAATTGTGCGTGGTGAAAATAATCCAAAAATCAATAATAACCCTGTTAACATTCGAAATAATGAAACAGCTGGACTTCCAAAAACATCTAATGTTGCACGTTCAAACTCGTTGCGTTCCTCAAGTCCACCACGAATACGGAGGCAACATCCAAATGTACCTCCTCCATTGCCAGAAAATGAAGTGTTAGTAATGAACCAGAGTTTAGTACCACAACATTTACCACAATATCCAATACCTAACAATACTCAAACAAAACTTGATTACAGCAATAAATTCGTGAGTTTTAAAACAAGTTCTATGATTATTTAATTTCATTATGAGTTATGACTATTGCTTTTTATTATTTTTTTGTACAGATAAAACCAGGAGGTTCAGAATGGTCTGCTCAAGAAACGCCAGTATCACGAATAAATCAGAACAATACTCCTACAGGCCAAACAATAATATCCGATCAAGGTGGATCACATTCATATCATTCTGCACAAAATGGAAATATCCCACCAATATTTTCTAATGGCTCAGCAGTGGACTCACCATCCGGAAGTCAAACATCACAAGCCAATACTCCCGTGCCACCAAATCGTACCCATCCTGTTATTAACAATGCCCAGATTGTTAGTACAAACAAGGTAAGTCTTAGATATTTTTTCATAAGTTAGTATCTTAACCTATGACATTTTATTTCAAGGGCATTGCTCAAAGTCATACTAGAAATCAAGATCAGAACCAAAATGTTAAACCAACCACAAATGGTATATCAACAGCTAGTACAATGTCAATTCCTAGTATAGCTACAAAACAACATCATGAGCAACAACGCATTACGCATGAACAAGTATTGAATTTTTTTTAAATTTAATTTATGATAAATAATAATACCAAAATTTGATTGTGTATTTTAGTTCAGGGCTGCCCTTCAACTTGTTGTTAGTCCAGGAGATCCTCGCGAAAATTTGGATAGTTTCAAAAAAATTGGTGAAGGGTCAACGGGTACTGTTTGCATAGCTACAGATCGAATGACCGGTCGTAAAGTGGCTGTAAAAAAAATGGATTTAAGGAAGCAACAACGTAGAGAGTTGTTGTTCAATGAAGTTGTTATAATGAGAGATTATCACCATGCAAACATTGTTGATATGTATGACAGTTTTTTGGTTGGTGACGAATTATGGGTTGTAATGGAATACTTAGAGGGCGGAGCACTTACTGATATGGTAACACACACTAGAATGGACGAAGAACAGATTGCTACTGTTTGCAAGCAGTGTTTAAAAGCATTGGCATATTTGCATTCACAGGGGGTAATACATAGAGATATAAAAAGTGATTCCATACTTTTGACTACTGACGGAAGAGTAATTATTTTTAATTATTATCATTATTTTATAAATTGTAAATATATATTTTACTATCTTAATTTTTTTAGGTGAAAATTTCCGATTTTGGTTTTTGTGCTCAAGTATCTCAAGAGTTGCCTAAGAGAAAATCATTAGTTGGAACACCCTATTGGATGTCCCCTGAAGTGATTTCACGTTTACCATATGGGCCAGAAGTTGACATATGGTCATTAGGTAATAATTTATTTTTGTTTTATTATTTTATTAACATTTTTTAACTCCAACTTATTTCTAGGTATTATGGTCATTGAAATGGTTGATGGTGAACCACCTTTCTTTAATGAACCACCTCTTCAAGCTATGAGAAGAATACGTGACATGCCTCCACCAAAACTTAAAAATTCCAATAAAGTATGTTATTATATAATTTTTATTTTACTTTATGTTAGTTAAACAATATAATTTATATATATGTATAATTTAATTTTGCTTCTCTCCAGATATCACCCAGACTACAGGGCTTTTTAGAAAGGTTATTAGTCAGGGATCCAGCGCAAAGAGCAACTGCGGCTGAACTTCTACAACATCCGTTCTTAAGATTAGCTGGTCCTCCTTCGCTGCTAGTGCCATTAATACGAGGGTCCAGACATAGCAACTGTTAAAAGGTAAACGACTCATTGTTCGTTTGTGCAATTTTTGTTATTTATTATTACATTACTTTTTTAATTATATAACAATTTTTTTTTTTTTTTTACCAAAATTGTGTATTATTCAAATTACTTGTAAAACGTAACTTACATTTAAAATGAAATGTAATTGATTATTGTATTTTTTATAATTATAATTGTATGTGGTATTATGTAATAATTTTAGACATCGAAAATCTTCTTACTTTTTTGTCACAAGCTCAATATGACATACTTAATGTTGAATAATTAGTGCCTTAAATGTAATTTTTGAATACAGAGATTCATTGATTCAATTCTCCATTATTGTACATGAAGAGAAAACCAAAGATGGAATAAAAATAGGGTCTACCTTAATTTTGTAAAGTGTACTTTCACTTATAACCAGGTGCCTTGTTCATTGGGTAATATATTTTTTTAACTTTTTTTTTTTTTTGTACATTTAACTATTCTAGTTTATTTATATAAATATTCAATCTTTATTGAACTATTACCATGCTTGTGTTTTTACAGTATGAGTATTAAATTAATAATGTTGAAATTTATACGGATCATTAAACTTCTGATTTCACTGTTATTAACATGAGTATTATAAAAGTAACCGCACCTCTATGTGTCATGCACTTTTATTGTTAACATAACTATTAGGTTATTCATTGGTCATAAATACCGTACATAATATAGTATTTTAAGTTTATTGTAAGGCTGTTTAATAATTAAGATGAGAAATTTATCGAACTTAAGTAAACATACACACGGTACAATGTAATGCTTTAACATTCCAATTATTGTTTTTAATTATTTGTTAATTAATTGTTTATTATTGACATCAGTATTTAAAATGATTGAATTCAAATTTTTACCTTCTAGTCAGTAATTGATTTAACCAATCTTTTGAAATTTTTGTTGGTATTATCTATTTGACATTATAATTTTATTGTTTTCTTATGAATTTATGATGTAAACAATATTCACTATCTAAACACAACCTGTTAGATCTCTGTGTGTACTGATCCTTTTTTTTACTACTCCAATACAAACTATTGTACTTCATAATTATATACCTGTAATGTTAGGTTGATTTTTTTTTTTACTTATTATTAATGACAAATTGTATTATTTTTTTTTTGTTTTTTTCACTTGTTCAATATACAATTAACACAAATTAATTACTAATGTACACTTATGTAATTTATTATACTATGTGATATTCATTTTTATTGAAATACAGTTCATATCACTTCAACCACCATATTTTTGATCAAAAACTTAGTGCTTGATACATTATTTAATTTTAGCATATTTTTTCAATTATATTTTATGTTGTATTCCATCAGTATTTTTGATTTATATTTATTATTTATTTGTTTATGATTATTATTTATTGACTACTTATAAAATATGATTATTTATATGCATTATTAATTATCACTATTATTTTACAAAAAATAAAAAAAATATATAATATGAAATATATACAAAAACTAAATGTATGTCTGTTTAGTTGAACCTGAAACGAATAATGTAAAGTTAAAATATGTTGTTATATAGTATTAAAATAAAACTCAATATTAATATTATACCTATACTTATTATTTCTATCATTGTTTTTTTTTTTTGTTAAACAGCGTTTATTGGTACAAACGTACATAACTTTGAAAAAAATGATAATTGTGTTTTAACTGAAAGAAATGAATCTCTAAGGGAAGGTTGTCGGGGTCAATAAATAGTAAACACTTGGTAGAGTACTAGAACGGTTTATTGTAACTAATATCAATGTCGCCTAAGCGACAAGCGTAAAGAATAATGATAGAAACTCAATATAAACGGCGGCTTGTCCGCTGACACACACGTCATACCCGACGGTAACAGCGAAACGGATTGATTATGGCTTTTAAGTTTTAAATAAAGAGGAACTATAACAAAACTTATACGATACGGCTTCAGAGGCGTATTTACGATTTTGGAGCCCCTTTTTTCTTCTCAGTTTCCTATTACTCATTGTCACAAAAAACTTTTAAGCCCCCTCTAATTTACAATTTACTTTTTACCGTTAAAAAAAGTCATGACCCAAAATGTATATTTTCCCCTTATTGCAACTATGCTCCCACTTTTTTTTTTTTATATAACCTCTAGCGACGACGCCCATTTGAGGACACAGAATTTGGCGTCCCGGGGCACTTTTCCCCCCGTCACCTCCTCCCCCCTCTAATTACGGCACTCACTGTACGACTTGTTGTTCATCGTTCATTAAACACTGTACTCGGGTGTAATATCCTATACGTTCACTGGTACTACGAACGACTAAAACGTTAACCGAACGATCATCTGTTTCGTTCACTAATCACTACTATATAGCTCGATTATTTTTTGGTAGGTACCAGTGAACTATACTTATTTTACGTATAGTTCAGTTGCTCGGTTTGATCGTTGAGTGAGCTATAGTTCAATTTGGTGAACGATGAACGCACGTACTAGTTCACCTAAGTGAACGACTAGTCCCGTCACTACTCAAAGAGGAAACTTACACACGGCAATTAGGCCCGGACGCCAGTGGGAGATATCGGGGGGGGGCTTTTCGCCACCACATGCGGACCACCCCACGGGAGGGGTTGAACGTCATTCCCTCTGTGGATTTGAAACTCAACCCCCCCCCCCCAGAACTTGGATATATCCGCCACTGCCGGTCGCCCGGAGCTATCCGTAGGGGTGTTACCCATTTGCGCCAAAAAAAATGAATTCGTTTTGGGTGCAGCCCATTTGCGCCAAAATAAAAAAGGTATGTTTTTCCGACAGCCCACTTGCGCCAAATTTACCTGGTATAATTATAATAAAGTAATATATTTTTTTCTCAAATAATAATAAATACAATTTTATTTAAATCATAGTTAATTATACGAATGTTTTTAAAATAATAATCAATAATAGCTGTATATACACATTTTTTTTGAAACAATAATCAGAATTAATACAAACTGTTTTTAAAAACTATACATATACTTATTAATTACTAACTATTATAATTTATAACAAATAATATAAATAAAACATATTTTTCATTAATTATAATAAACTAATATATTTTTTTTTCAATCAAATTATAGTCAATAATACGATTTTTTCAAAAATAATTATCAATAATACACTTTTTAAACAATATTAAATAATTATTATAGGTACACATTTTATTGAAAATTATAGGCTATAGGTAATAATAGTTAATCGAATTATAGTCAATAAAATATCAATATCAATCAAATTGATCATAATAAAAAATAAATTAAGATTTTAAAAAATAGTTATCAATAATACACTTTTTAAACAATACTAAATAATTAGTATAAGTACACATTTTATTGAAAATTATAGGCTATAGCTAATAATAGTCAATCGTACTATTTTCTTAAAAATATCAATCAAATTGATCATAATAAAAAATAAATTAAGATTTTTTAGCATTATATCTTCCTAATCCTTATTGTAATTAAATGCAACCATTTGTACATATTCATAACGCGTCATTTTTTTGTTTTTATAATCCTCAATTGCTTTTAAAGTTTTTTTTAATCTGGTTTTAACTTGTGCATTTTTTTGAGGGTTAGGTATATTTTTAACACAACTGTTGATTTTAATATAAACATCTGTTTGAACTGTTTTAATTAAAATTTCTAAAAATGTAAAAATATTAGGATGCGATTTATAAAACTGTTCATTGAAGTGAGAGTGAAAAGATTCACAGTTATTGGTGGTTCTAGTTAAATCAGCTGCAAACGCTGCCCAAATGTTTGGAGGGAAATTGGCATTTTCTCCGATGTAGTATCTACTAAATAATCTGCATATTTTCGGTATTTTGGATCATCAGGGATTTCAGACATAAAATCGTCAACCAAACAATCCGAAACTTCATTTGGATCGAGAAAAGTTAAACCAAATGTAAATTTTAACCACTTGTTATCCTTATAAGCTGAAGTTAATCCTAGTGATTGAATTTTCCTGTACCAAGCTTGAGTCAAGTGAAAACGACAGCCTATAATTTCGGATAATGGCCATACTGATTTCACAGCGAGATGTACTTATAGATAATTCAAAATCAACTGTAACATATTTTGGTTTAAACATTAAACTAAAATTTTGCATGGCTTTATTTTTGATAGTGTAACGTAACGAATGTCTGATGAAATCACACTGCGATCGTTCTTTTGACGAATAACGATACCTATATCGTACAACATAATAAAACTGATATAAAACTTGTTTGCTTATCTTTCGACGCAATAATATACAAAGCTTTAAAATCTATAGACTTATAAAAATAACTTTGATATATGTTACAAACACGACGTCTTTAAAATATAAGAGCTAACCAAGTCGTTAATTTAAAATGTTTACGCAGGTAAAGTTGGCGCAAATGGGCTGTCAGAAAAACATACCTTTTTTATTTTGGCGCAAATGGACTGCACCCAAAACGAATTCATTTTTTTTGGCGCAAATGGGCGATGCCCATCCGTAGCGTCTGGCGGCGGCCACAAAAGAGCGAATAATATAGCTAACAATCGGCCTTCCTACCATACCGGGCTTCCCCGGGCCGCTTACAAGATAAAAATAATTATACATTTTTTGGAATATTGGTTGCGCCGAAATCGAATAGCAAGACTCAAAACTAACAAAAAAAGACAAATCTTATCACTAGGGTTCGGATTTGAAGGCAATATAATCAATAAAAAAAGCATTTAAAATGTAAAAAAAGGCATTTAATTTATATAAAAAGGCAATTCATAAATATACTACAAAATAAAATAGTGAACATTTTTTAAACACTTTTAAATGCACACATTTTGAGAAAAATACAAATTAAAAATGAGCATGAATACTAAACTACATTAAGTTTATGCTATTTTGTATAAATAGATTAGGTACCTACCTTTTTCTTTAACCAGGTTTGTCCTAAGAATTAGTTAAAAACAATTTTAAATATT